CTTTTTCCGTTTGGATGTCCCTAGGGCCCAAAATGTACCTAAACATTAATTTAATACATTTAAATTGTGTTCTTGGTTGCAATATGACAAAAAGGTTCATCAACGGACGAAAAGTGTATTATCAACCCTCACTCATTTTCCGACCTCACAATAATTGTAGAAATTAATTTTAATTAAAATCAAATATTACCACTATAACCATAAACATTATAAACAAATTTCAATGATTACTAAATAAATAAATTCAACAACTAAATAACAATTGATCAGCTGATAATTATTCTTCTACCAGCTGATTGTCTTCTGCAAACGCTTTACTGATATGTTGTAAACAGTAATACAGAATTCTTGGTTATGTGTGGCTCGTTATGACTGTAGGCTAAATCCGAAACTGTTAGGTTTTCAGTAAAATGACAAGAGTAAAAATGTCATAGCATTTTACGTAGAATCCAATACTAACATAAATAGTTGGGAATGCCATTGAAAAAAATTACATGCTTAGCTTTGGTTCAAGCATCTTTCTAACAGAATGGAGTTTATATTATACAACCCTTAAGGTAAATAGAATAAAAGTAAGTAAATACATGTATTTGGTACGGATTAAGCTTATTCACTTTCTAACCATGTCACAAGTTGTGTTATTCAACAAGAATTCTTTACAAAATTGGGAGTTTAAACGTAGAGAAATTCAACTAATCTATATGTATAAAAGAGGAAGTATGTGTGTATATACCCTATGGACTCCGAAACCACTCAAACAGATTGTATTGAATCTTTCAGTCATTACTAAGCATTATTCAAGGATGGTTTGTGTGAATTTTGGTGCAGATCCGTCAAAAGGGCTCCGCCCCAGAGGGTTTTAAGGGGTCCAACGTCAGACTACAATGTTTACAAATAAATATAACTAGTGTACCTGTTGCTCGAATTCGAGCAATTGCGAAGCATTACAGGCGTTATTTTAAAACGAATAACGGTCATCAATTCCGATGACTTTTTTTGGTTGTGTTGCTAGCCTAGTGATTAGCGTCTCGGACTTCGGTGCGGGAGGGACGGGTTCAATCCCCGGCACATCCACTAAATCTTCTCTTGTAACTCTCTCATGGAATGCCACTGGCGTGGACCAAAAAAAAAGAAGAAAAGAAAAAGTCGACTCAAAGATTATGGAAATACTCACGATGTACACAACAGTTAGATATAATCATAATTGTTTGTAAATATCTTATCTTTTTTCAAAAGCTGATCTTGTTTTTTAGAGTTTTCTACAAATGTTTCCCACTCATAACCGCATTAGGTTCACTATAATAACGATTATAAATGAAGAAAAAAACATTATTTCTATTTCCTTTACTTGGTTGAGTTCTATGACTTTCTTATGTTTCTATTGTTTACAAATCGGCTCTTTCAATGATTACTCAAGAAATGTAGCACAGTGTTAATTCAGTTTTATTTTTTGTGGGCCTACATCAAATTGTCCAGGATTTCGCGCTTTTTTCCATTGTACACCAACCCAAGTATCGTCTACAGATGCAATACGCTAAAGAATATCATCTACGTGCAACACGCCTACGTACAATCTCCAAGAAGTAGTAAAAAAAAGGCAGAAACTAACCTTAACAATAGACATAAGTTGACTCCATAAAAAATAATTTTAAGAGTTACTGTGATATTAGGATTTTCCACTGATTTGGCAATAGAACATTATATTGCAAAACATGACACGATGCAGAAGAAAGTCGATTTTAAAATCAGAAAAAACCATTGCAAATTCTTCACTTTGACAAATTTAGTAAATCACAATTTAAATATTAACAGCTGTTTCATTAAAAAGTAATGTAAAATTATACATATGGTCATAATGTAAACAAATCTGCTGAGGGGACTTTAAAAGCCTCTGAGGCAGAGCCCCAAGGGAATTTACCTCGTTTCTCTTTTGATGGCTCATCTACAGACCAAGACCTTTCTTTAGAGACCCCTACCAATTTGATGGCTCATCTACAGACCAAGACCTTTCTTTAGAGACCCCTACCAAATTTCTACGCCCAGCCGTTCTCTGAAATTAGCTGTGACAAATGCCCGTTTTCCCCCCATAAGAATAACATGGGATGGGAATTTAAAGGCCACTGGGGCAGAGCCCCAAGGGAATTTACCACGTTTCTCTTTTGATGGCTCATCTACAGACCAAGCTCTTTCTTTAGACACCTCTACCGAGTTTCTACGCCCAGTCGTTCTCTCAAAATAGCTGTGACAAAGAAAAACAGTTTCAAATTAATATATAGATTCTCGTGCGCGCCTGGCGGTACATATAACAACTATAACCACGTGGTTGTGTTAAAATCCGCTAGATGTCGGGTAATATGAAAGTTTCTTACAAACCCTTGAGTGAACATTAGAAATCGTTAAATCTATGTTACATTTAGTGTAAATACTTTAAGTTTAGTCAAATACTGATAAATATTGACATTTTAAATAGTTAATTAAGATTTCAGTTGATTTCATAACATATTCGCGTTTCTTTCTTCGGGTATAAGAAAGGCATCTCGCACGGTCCTTTGATATTACATTAGGCCACACTTGGTATTCCTGTTCCTTGATGTTCACTTGGTTTAAAGATAAAGAAATTTTGTATATTGCATAAGCATCGTGTAATGTACAATTTTTAAAGGCCTTCTCTAATCAGGAGGCCAATAATAATAAATAACACTAGGTGAAACCCGTCGAAATCGACGGTTACTTTCAAGGCTTACGCTAATTCATCTAACTGCGATAAATTGAGTAAAATTATACATATTTTGAGCATTTAGCTTGTTTAAGGATTAATAAGTGTAAAATAATTATATTAATTGCAGATAAATAGATACATATAGATAGATTATAGTAAACAGATAAATTTAAATTTAGTCAATACATTTTATAAACATTTTCTAACATAATACCCATACTGCCTTACTAACCTAATGATCAAAGGAGCATTTGTTTGGACAATACTTGTTAAAGAATCTTCGTTCACAATTGGGACTGGTTATTAGCATTTCTTTTCACCAATGTCCTTTGTTCCTTTGTACTGGACGGAAGTCCATTGTGTTTCCCAAACCTAATTATCCTAAAAGCTGTAAAGATCTGGAAATCATCAGATTTACATTAGTAGTGGCACAAGTGAACCTGTAGGAAATAACTGAATGAATTTCGCTCTTCGATTTTTTTATCTATCTTCTATATTATTGAACGCTACATGAAACTTTGTGAACAATAAGGCTTTTTGTTTTAAGACTTAACCCCACATACTATATACCAAAATGTTCGTCTAGGTGTGTAAATTTGCAAACTGACATTTAATTTTTGAAAAAGTCCCTTGGGCTCTGCCCCAGTGGCTTTTAAAGTTCCACGTTATCCTTATGAACACATTTGTTTACATTATGATCAGCTACATAATATAATTGCTGTTATTATTTTAGTTGTAATTTAAGGAATTGTGTGTTACAAATGAAAACAAGAAAAACATTATTTTATAACCACTTATTGTACATTGTATAATTTCACCCAGACATGCCGGGTTTTTCTGCTAGTAAAAATTATTCAACGAAATGATTGTAGGACCCTATACACACACGGTTAATATTATTGCACAATATTTCATTTTTTCCAATATTATTGCACAATATTTCATATTTCCCAATATTATTGCACAATATTTCATATTTCCCAATATTATTGCACAATATTTCATATTTCCCAACATTATTGCACAATATTTCATATTTCCCAATATTATTGCACAATATTTCATATTTCCCAATATTATTGAACGTTTATTAGCTATATTGAAGGCAAAAATCATATTGTGCAATATATTGAGTAAATACATGTTTTGGAAATTATTGCAAAATATTCAAAATATTGAACCGTGTTTGGATAGTATTGCGCAATATCATCTCAGTTCATCTGTTCCAGGTTGGTTGTTTTTGTGGTAAAATCGTGTTTAACTTGCTTAATATGAGGCGCAACTAATCGTGATAACTTATCAAACTATTCTGCGTATAATCTGAGACTGAGGAAGTTATTAGAGTTACTTTGTTCACTTATTCGAAGCTCATTCAGCAGACTTTCATGGTAAAGTCACTCCTATTGTTCCACCACTTCTTCAACCACATCCTCTTCTTCGGCTTCAGCAGGGCGACTACCGCACACGCTAGCATCCAAATACGAATTGTGGATATTTATAGTCGTGTACTGTGGATGCGATACTCCCTGGTGTGGATTAACGTCTGAACAAGTGAGTACTACGACTATCCGCAGTACCATCCTGATAATTAGACCAATTAGTATATAAGGCAAAAATGTGGTTCGGATTCCACTATAAACTGTAGGTCCTTGCTATTAGCTGTATGGGCTAAATTAACAGCTGCGTTTAAGGAATATGTCGGCCTTAGTCACTAACAAGACTACAAGATCGCCACTTATCCTACACCTCTATACATGTAAAATCAAATGTACCTAAAATACCTACTTTGTATGGTCGCCATTTCATCGAAAAGCATCACACATGATAACCAATTTAAAACTTGTATCAGCCCTGTAACTAAACCAATATAGACTTTTCAACCGTGGGTTGAACAAATTTATTTGGTATATGGTCGGTTTGGTCACTCTTCAATAATATTGCGCAATCGTAGTCCTCTACAATTAATTGATCCTGACCGTGTAAGGCCCTTGAAAGACCCCGTTACAGTCGAAACATACTTTAACAACTACAACATTTCCATTCCACCATTCAATGCAACCGATCGTTTGACAGTTCAGGTGCACTTACAGCACCTGCAACTGATTACCAAACACCTGTTGTAGTTGCAACTGGCGCCGCCAGAGCGCTCTCGCAGCTAGAGCCATACGGGCCAGTTCCCCTTGCGGAGTACGTGGCAGACCGACCTTATGGTTACGGGACTGACTGACTGATCAGTGATCAGTTTCAGTCGTTTCAGTCTTCTCTTCAGTCGACAGTTGCAGTTGAGTGTGAGACGCGTCTAACCTCAAGGTCTATTGGGTGTTGAGTTGTTCTGCGAGTTTCCAGTGTGTGATTGTGTTGTGTTTAGGATTTCCTTGACTGTAAAGGTATGTTTTTACTCGATACTGTTATTCTATTATTCTTTCCCACCGTGGGATCTTCCCAGTTCCGCTGGTTGGAGATTCTAGGCTACTACAACAATGCGATTCTTGACCCCTTTGTTGTGACTAGCTTTTTTTTATTTTAATTGATTCCAACTATTTGTTGGTCCTTCTTTGATCTGTTGTTTTTGTGTTATTATTGTGCGTATATTATGTTTATTTAGTTGGTATGCTTACCTTGTTTTGTTTATGTTTTTGTAGTTATGTCAGAGGATTCTTAGTAAACCGGTTTTAATAACTATGGTTGAGTTTGCCTTCACTTTTGATTTATAACCTTTTTACAAATTTGTGATAAAATTATTATTTTCAAATATTTCATACTGTTATGTCTTATTATCGACCTAATGTGATAATAATGTAAACAATACTTTTTTTCTGTTACGATGGATGATTTTTAATTCGGAAAACTTATCATCCTAAATGATCATCTTGAAATATAGCCTACATCACAACAACGTCGTACTACGAAGTATTTTGTCATAAAGACTACAATTTGTAGGTCCATCGACCTAAAAGAAGAGATATATTTAAAATACATTTAGATTTCAAAGGACTATCTTGAGTCAATTTAAGATAATCCTCCTGATCTTCCTGAATCCAATCTTATGCATAATCTTTCCTGTAAGAGCTAAGGTAAATGCACCAGTAGCTGACAGTGCTCCAGAAGCTGACAGTTTGAGTTTCTTAACATTATAATGTGGTCTCTTAAAAATATTTACACATGATTGCATTGTTAGAAGAACATATGTTTATTCTTGATTTGTTTACAAAAACATCAGTTAAATTTAGCCCATACTCGCTGAATGGTGGTGGTTTGAAAGCGACCCTGTCCGTACACATCACATTTAGTCGATTCCCTTAATGAAATTGTTAAGAAAGTTAGTTTAGTTTTTTGTCATTTCGCTAAATTTCTTAAATAGTATTAATGATTAGGCTCATTATTTTTATCAATTATACCTTTGTTGACAATTTCATGAAAAAATTGGGGCGTTAGGGGTTTTGGATTTAAAATTATATCAATGTCAGGCTTTGGTACACAAAAGCCATACAAGTTCCACTAGCTGACAGGGGATATTTGCTACTTGCACAATATTAAATTGGTTTCACCCATCGAAATTTGCATGCTATTTATAATTTATGTGATCTCACATTTTTATAAAATGATTTTAATTTTTTAATTTATAAGCCAAATTATCTTAAAAAATGTATATTTTTTTAAAATATATATAAAATATATACAGGGTGACAAACAAGTCTGGAATCGGTTTAATATCTTTTTAAATAAATCCGTTAGAAAATTCAAACCTTTCACATCAACTTACATGTATGAAAACTACTTTTTCCAAGCATTATCATTTTTTTACCTCTATATGTCAATGGTTTACCTTATATGTCTTAGATTTAGAGATCTTTAAATTTTTCTATCCTGATAATTGCAATAAGGTAAACGCACCAGTAGCTGACAGTATAAGAAACTATACGCACTTAATAATCCGTGGTTTTGAATAAATAGGAACTAAAGAGATATTACGGATTTTATGTGATTCTAAATTTAGTGTAGTTTTCAAATTTGTCATACAAAAAGGGTTTTTTAAATATATTTTATAACATTTTTAAACTTAATTCAACCTTTGTACGTGTTCCAGTGGCTGACAGTGAAAAAAGTGCTTGTACCAGTAGCTGACAGTCAGTTGTCCCAGTAGCTGACACTGGAACTTAAATGTATTAGCTGCTAATCCTAAAGGTTTTATAATTTATAAGACGAATAAAATCTAACTTAATAATTAAATTATAAAATCACATAAAACGTTATTAAGAAAATTTATTTTACATATTTTAAAATAAATAATATTTACATTAAAATATATATACAAACTTTTCACATCAACTTATATGTATGATAACTACTTTTTGCAAGCATTACCATTTTTTGACCTCTACCAGGGGACGACCCATGAGGAGTAGGTACATAATCTTTGATGTAAGCATAGGTTGATATGCACATCATTTTAAAGGTCTGGTCCAGTGGAGTTCATTGACGGAAACCGCGTCAAAAAAGGTTCATCCGTTACAAAATGGCGGCTGTCCAAAGTTCTTGCGGAATATACCTGCACAGGCCTTAGTATTGGTAAATACTCATATTCAACATTAGCTGGGAAATCTGAAACTCGGTAAAATTTGTTTTGAAGATTTTATAATATTAATCTATGAGCTAGTTGACTTAAAAATACAGTTTCAGCTCTCAAGCTAATGTTTAATACGAGTATTTACCAATACTAAGGCCTGTGCGGGTATATTCCACAAGAACTTTGGACAGCCGCCATTTTGTAACGGATGAACCTTTTTTGACGCAGTTTCTGGCAATGAACTCCACTTGACCAGACCTTTAAAATGATGTGCATATCAACATATGCTTACATTAAAGATTATGTACCTACTCCTCGTGGGCCGTCCCCTGGTAGAGGTAAAAAAATGATAATGCTTGGAAAAAGTAGTTTTCATACATGTAAGTTGATGTGAAAGGTTTGAATTCTCTAACGGATTTATTTAAAAAGATATTAAACCGTTTCCAGACTTGTTTGTCACCCTGTATATATTTTATATATATTTTAAAAAAATATACATTTTTTAAGATAATTTGGCTTATAAATTAAAAAATTAAAATCATTTTATAAAAATGTGAGATCACATAAATTATAAATAGCATGCAAATTTCGATGGGTGAAACCAATTTAATATTGTGCAAGTAGCAAATATCCCCTGTCAGCTAGTGGAACTTGTATGGCTTTTGTGTACCAAAGCCTGACATTGATATAATTTTAAATCCAAAACCCCTAACGCCCCAATTTTTTCATGAAATTGTCAACAAAGGTATAATTGATAAAAATAATGAGCCTAATCATTAATACTATTTAAGAAATTTAGCGAAATGACAAAAAACTAAACTAACTTTCTTAACAATTTCATTAAGGGAATCGACTAAATGTGATGTGTACGGACAGGGTCGCTTTCAAACAACCACCATTCAGCGAGTATGGGCTAAATTTAACTGATTTTTTTGTAAACAAATCAAGAATAAACATATGTTCTTCTAACAATGCAATCATGTGTAAATATTTTTAAGAGACCACATTATAATGTTAAGAAACTCAAACTGTCAGCTTCTGGAGCACTGTCAGCTACTGGTGCATTTACCTTAATCCAACTTGCTTGTGTAGGTACTATTAACACGGATTAAATAATAGGATAATATGTACCCCTTATATGATCTATAGAATCAGCTGTTGAGAGTTTTAGGTTAGTTCAGTCAGGATCGTTTTCTTCTTTATTAATTAATTCTATTTTTTTTTTTTTTTGTTATTGAACCAGTGCGAAACTAACTGTTTATAACTAACTACTTGCAAAATATTACACGAAAAGCCCTCTGGTATTTTAACCTATAGCACAACAAATCGTGACATCTAGCCTTAAAAACATTTAGTCAACTCAAGGACACTTTGTGAACCCAACATGATCAACACCCAGAACTCATACTTAACAATATGATGAGAAGACTTTGCAATATAAAAAACCTATAAGCTAACGCCAACTAAACGCCTAGAAAATGTGACATTTCTTCTACAGGAAATGCAATTTTTGTTCTCAATTTATCTAGGCTACAAGGTTTCCCAAGCTAAAGGACACATAACCCAATTCTGTAAAACATGAACTGGGTCTGTATGTTTTCTAAACAAACAAAATTCTAATTAAGGTTTGACAACCTGTACAAATAATTAGTGTCATAGCTGTCTTAATTCCGGTAGCTGTAGTGCATTGACCTTGTGCTATTATACGGGTCATTTAAACTACAAACTATGAATCAACAGTCAAGTCCAATATTAACTTAACGATAGTATTGTTTGTCTATAATAATCGTTCATTGTCTATTCTTTGTCACTGGTCTTTTTGTTCAGTGTAATAGATAACAATTAAATATCCTACTCGTGCCACATAAACAACATGTTTTTCATTTTATACCTTCTGGATCAGCTGTAAATTGTATGTATTGTGATGTAGCTTAATAATTTTAATCTACACAAAGTAAGATTATTCCTCAAATAACAGAAATGCATTCAGTCGCCTTGGGCTCATTCGAATGAAAACCCTAAAAAACGAAGTTTGAAATGACGAGAAATCTTTTATCAGTTGCATGGTGAATAAACGGACGAGCACAATATCAACTTATCGATTATCGTTTTTCTACGATAATCGATAATCGGTTAAACTCTTTTTAACTTCTGTCACAAACAAGAGGGAAACAAGTACGTATACAATGTTTACTTATTTTTAGTCTTTGCTTCTGGTCAACTTGTTCAAGACTTTGTATCTTAATTATTAGTATACGAATCCTGAAGTGAGGTATTGTAGCTAAACATTATATTTATACCAGTTTGATTTTCGCAAATAAGCTTGAAACTATAGTGTGTACACCGTAGGGTGGCGCACGGCCCCACCAGCTACCTGGGTCGGTCCTTAAGAAATATATCTGTATACAGACTATAGGCTTCTGGTACATAAACACTATTCATCAACTTAGTAGCGAAGTAAGTGTCATTATATATTTTCTGATGCGTGTAGAAATGCTGTATACTTTTTCCAAAACCTGCAAACCTTCGCATAGGTATTTTATACTTCTTGCTTATTCCAAAACCTTTAAGTACTGCACCGTTATACAAATTTTGTTTACCAGTAAGCTTATAAGCTTACTGTGTCTTTGAGGTGTTTTGTACAGTTCTAAAAATCAATTTGAAACAATTTCCGTCGCAAAAAGTCTAAAAGCTATCCATTATTGAGACGGACGCCACCTAGGTGCGTATTTTAACCCACAAATGAGTGAAGGATGAGTGTACAACTGTGGAGCCTTGTATAAGACCAGCAGAGTGTCCTGCAGATCTCTTTCAAAATCC